GGATCCTAGTGTTCATCAGAAACTTTTGAAAGAGATGCGGTTCTGCAACTTTCTGGAGATTCACATTAAAACAAACAAAACCCCTAAAACAAAACCCTTTTCAGCTCCTATACTGTCAATACATTTTGGAAGTTGAAACCATTTTTTCTCACTGATAATCTGAACTTCTCCTTTTCAAAGACTGTTTATTTGGGGTAAATTGTTGAAATGCAACAGTAAGTCTGTAGGGAAGGCAGGATGACAGCTTGTATACGGGAGGGTTTTTTATCAGCATATAGTTTACTGACTGACAAACGCCTTAGGATTTTCAGTGTACCACGTGAATATAAAAAGTTTAGATAATACCTATAAGTATCAAAGGTATTAAACCAAATCTTGACACCTTTAAGAGCCACAAGATCCAAGCAACACTTCAGAAATCATAGTGCATAGAAGATTTTGTGCAACATGGTTATGTCACAGTTAATGCCAACTCTACTCTGAATTTAGAATCCTTTGTACCATTACTATATATTTACTTTTCATGAAGAATGGCCTTAATTTTATATCAGAGGCAGGGAAATCTTTGACCTACTGAAATCAATTACAAAACTCCATCTTCCAGGAGGTTAGCATTTCACCCAAATGAAGGGACATTCCTTGCCTTATTGCCAAATACTCAGTATTTGTAATTGAAAAGGATATTCAACATCATTATAGGAAACACAGCCATTGCTGTAGTTCAGGAAAATGGAGTAAGTATATTTTCCTGTATTTAAAGGAATCTCTACATCCCATAAGAAACATCAGACGAAAGTCTGCTGAGACACAAGAAAAAATATACAGCAGAGATCTCTAAAAGTGATTGTCTGAGCAACTCAAAGCTCTATAGGTTTGTGCTTGCTGAGCATCCTGAAGAAATTACATTTAAATCTTGGTATTTAAGATCTAGAAACTAAAGTAATCACTTCCATTTACTTGTTTCCATTTCAGTACTTTTCCCATTACAGATCTAATGCATGCCTTTTTGAAGTACAGCTGCTTGGTTTTCCTGCATAAAGAAGAAATTAGGTCTAATAATCTAACTTCTGAATAATTTCTATTCTAGTTGTATGGACCCACTGAGATTTTCATTCAGTGTTGACCATCCTCATAAATGCAGTAAACTGAAATCCCATCCTTATTAGAAACACAGAGAAGTTAAAATTTCTGATGGGATAGGGAGCATTTTACTTTTTGTTAAAAATAATTGAGAAGGCTATTAATATCCTCGCTGACATTTTTGTAAAAGGAACATGACTGTTAAAACTGGGATGAAGAACTACATAATTTTCAAAGTGAAGCAAGTACGATGCTGCTAGCATTTGGGAAAAGATGGTATTAATTTTGTGTGTGAACTGTGATAATCCCTGCATATTTCTAAATCCCTGTAAATTGTTTTATAGTGCTTAGGAGTTATGACTCATTCACATTTTCTTATAAGCTTATATTCTTTCATGGGGGATTGTCCTACAAAAGACTTAAGCGGGAAATTGGAGAGATGTCGCATATTTGAACTAGGTACATCCAAAAGTAGAATACTTTCCCCTTGGACTAACTGGGAATTTTACTAGTTTTGGATTTGAAGGTTGAAGCTAATATTAAAGGTGCATTAAAATAAATTATGAACAGTATTTGAATGGGCTTCAGTATTACATTATGTGGTTGAATGGAATCCACAGAATCCTCTCCAGTTAATTGACTCTGGGTGTCTGCAAACAAATATTTTAATGTTCATTTTGTTTTCAAATGATGACAACTATTGATCTAAGCAGCTTGATCAATTTATTAATCTGCATAGCAAATAGAGCTCCAACCCAAAATCTCCAATCTAATGAGAAATACATTCCCATGCAATCATAGTGAGAAAAACAATACCATGGATTGCTTACCAGTGATTTTTGCATTCTTTTTTAAAATTTCATTTTCAGTTTTCTTCTGAGGATGCAAATACTCCTACAAGACGTGTGTGTTGAATGCAGGATGGGATCAAGGTGGGCAGTTGGGAAACAAGATGGGGCGAAATGAAAGGTGGTACTGTGTTGATCCTGTGTGTAGTTTATGACCTTAAACACATCTGGTCCAAGCTCAGGGAATGCAAAATGCCTCCTGACTGCAAATATGCGCTCTCTCTCTCTCTGTCTCTCACTAAGAAATCTCTCTGCTTTTATCTCAACATCTTCTTTAATAACAAATGTGGTAAATTAGAAGCCTGAGATCCTGGTTGCCCTGTTCTTTTAGGAGAAGCCATTTTGAAGTATGTAACTTATCTCCTTAACTAATAACTCCTTAACGAATGTCCTCTGGCATGGTATGTTGCATAGTTGAACATCTGTTCTACAGGTTTATCTGACTTTAAATTACCCCTTGCAAAATGGTAGCAATTGATTCCAGCTAAAAATCCATCTTTGTATGCCTTTAATTGCCTGATTTTAATTATTTTCCTGCAATATGCATTCATGTTGCCTTAACTGCTTTTGCTTTATTTCTGTGAATGGTGGTTCTTTTTCGAGGCCTGTCTCCCAGAGTTATGGAACATATAAGAAATGTGTATTAATTGCTATCCTATGACTTAACTCTTATCAATATTTACAGTTGGTTTCGCTTTTTCCTGTCCCTTATTTTGCTTTAACCTTTCACATTATTCTGTAATTTCTAGTAGTCCACATGGTTTTGCCTTATGAGCAAACGGCAGATTTTTTTCCCTTTGCTGCTTAAAACATTTGTTAATGATTTGGCAAGCTGGGAAAGCTTCCACATGAGGAAGTAAGGACTGGATTCTTCATTTCTGTTTTCCTCACCATAAAATAGATAACACTTCAAGAAAATAAAGTGGTAGTGTTGTATTTTATGAAAAGGATCTAGAACATACTGTAAGTACTAAGCACCCCGATCTAAACATCATCTATCCATTTATTTTTCCTTCCAGCTTGTTAATTTTGAGGTGCCACAAGCCTCAGATAGGTGAGTCATGAGGTCTCACTTCCAGGGACAGGTGAGAAAGCGCCTGCATTGCAACCTGTTTTCATCACAGTGAATGTTAACAGGAGAGTGGCCCAAAGTTTTTGTCCCCTGCTCTCTTACAGCCACTGGCAGGTCGGGAGTGATGGTGAAAGCAGCTGACACCAGCACCTTCCCTGTCAGCAGGAAGAAGACAATCGTGTTCCTCTTTCTTGTGTTGCATCACAGACCTCAGATGAGTAACTCAGGACCATGCTCTGGGGTTTAGTACCATTAATTTGAGACTGGTTAGTTCAAAGAGCTGAAATAGTGGCACACCAGCTCACTTGGAGAGGATTAGGCAAAGAAATGCTCCTATGAAGGGGGGCAGCTCGCAGCAGAGTGCTGGTGATGAACAGTTAATGGCAAAGTGGTGTTTGTCATGTTTTCTATTAGCACAGCGGGTGCTAGCCAGAATGTTTGTCCTTCGTTCCTCTTCTTACAATGCTCCAAACCAAACTACAAACAAATATTGAGTAATGAGATTATCTGGCACCTCTAAGTAACATTTCGCTGTTCAGCTCTTCTGTCAAGGTGTAGTAAGAACATCCTCACAGCAGTATCTGCTAAGAAAACTGTTTGGTGGTGTTTCTGCTGCTTTGATATTCATTCCTCTGTGAGACCCAGACTGCACACTCAGTTGAACTGCACTGTATTCACTCACACTGGGAGGCTGCTTTTTGGAAACCAGATTGATGCTAAAAATAAAACAAACTATGCAAAATGAAAAAAAAAAACCCTCCTTGCTATCCTCCCCATCCATAGTGGGAGTATACTGCTTCAGAAAGCATCGTGTTATTTGCATATGCCTTTTAGTGTCTTTTCCACGAGAAAAAGAATGGAGGGGAGTTTAATAATGTAGTATTTTTGCAATCATCCATGCAAATCACCCCCAGACAATACTGCGGCACACACAAAGTATAGAACCATGTTTGGAAACTTCTCAGATATGGATCTCACCGTACTAATAAAAGTATCTTGTTATGAGGATGCTGTTTACTATGCATCATGCCTAGAAAATAAAACTGAGGGATTCTACTTCTCTTTATTCGATTAAAAGGTAATGCCCGTATTTTGATTTTCCTCCTTGATTTTTTAATCGGAAACTTTAACGATAGTCTGACCTTCTAAGAGGGCATGTGTGCACACGTGTGTGCCTCCATAGCCTTTGGACTCGATTTTCCACGGGTACTGTTAGTACCGAGTGTGGGTAAAAAATAAAAGAGATCGGCTTAAAAAATGTATCATACTTTAAAAAGTTAATGCCTTCGGAGTTTGTTTTACCTTTGGGGTTTTGTCCTCGAGCTCTGGTCTCAAAGCTTTTTCGCTGCAGTTAGGATGGGTGGAAACCAAACTAAACACAAAAGCCAGGGGTCTAAGCCATGAGTCTCACAAACTCCCAGCGGCTCACGGGCAGGACCCCGCGCTACTGACGCCCAGGCCGGCGGCAGGGCGGCGGCTCAGCCCCGGTCCCGAGGGGCCGCTCAGCTCCCGCCGCCTCCCTCCCCTGCGCCGCGGGCTCGGCTGGAGCTCCTCGGTGATGCCAGCACGGAGCTGGGGGGCTCCTGCTTAATCCTGACCCTCCAGGCTCTTTCTTCGGTGAATCTCCGACGGGTGGAAGCCTAAATTACGACGACGATGATGACAATAATAATAATAATAAATTAGAGCAATAACCAAGCCCGCTCCAGCAGCCCACGGCCCCGCGTTCTCCCCCGGCCCGACAGTGCGGGGCGGGGCGGGCGGACCTCGGCGGGCCCCGCGAAGCGCCTCTCGCCGCTCCCGCTGCCTCCCGCAGCCCCCGCAAGGCACGGGGCAGCGTTGCTCTCTGCTCGCTCCTCCGCGCCCTGGTAACGGCGGCCCCCGGCGGGCGAGAGGACGTGCGGGGCCGCCCGTCGCGGCTGTTTCCGCGTTGCCCGTCCAGGGAGGTCCCGCCCCCGCCCGCAGCCGCCCCAGCCCCAGCCCCGGCCCCGCGGGGAGGCTCCGGGCCCGGCGGGGGGGGCGCGCCCCCCGCCCGGGGCCTGCGGCGGGGGCGCCGGATAAAGCGGTGCCGGCCCGTCCGCCTGCCGGCACAGGGGCGGCCGGGACGGGCCCAGCGGGGCGCCCCGCCATGGCGAGCCCTGCACGCCCGCGGCAGGAGCTGGCGGCGGAGGAGTGGCGGCTCCGCGGCGCGGCCCCGACGGTGCCCCGCGACGCCAAGCGGGACGCGGCGGGGGAGCGGCTGGTGCTGCTGGAGCTGCGGCGCTGCGGGCGGCCGCCGTCCCCCGGGCCCGGCGAGCGCCAGGAGGAGGGGGAGGAGGAAGAAGAGGAGGGGGAGGCGGCGGCGGGCGAAGACTGTTGCGGCAAGTGCAAGAAGCGGGTGCAGTTCGCCGACTCGCTGGGGCTGAGCCTCGCCAGCGTCAAGCACTTCAGCGACGCCGAGGAGCCGCAGGTGCCGCCCGCCGCGCTGTCCCACCTGCAGAGCCCGCCCGGCGAGGAGCGGGACCCGCCGCCGCCCGGCGGGGACCCCCTGCCGCCCGCCCTGCTCCTGGTGCCCGACTTCCCCGACGGCGGGGAGCCCAGCGCCGAGCGGCTGCGGCGGCAGCGCGTCTGCCTGGAGCGGCTGGGGCGGCCTGCGGCGCCCACCGACGTGCGGGGCACGGTGCAAGTGCTGGGCGGCCCCGGCCTCAAGGAGGTGACGGTGCGCTACACCTTCAACGAGTGGCTCTCCTTCGTGGACGTCCCGGCCGCCCCCCTGCCCCCCGACCCGCCGGCCGAGCGCTACGGCTTCACCCTGTGCGTCCCGCCGAGCCTGCGGGAGGGCTCTGCCCTCCACTTCGCCATCCGCTACCGCAGCGCGCAGGGCGAGTTCTGGGACAACAACGGCGGCCGCAACTACACCCTGCGGTGCTGCGGCTGCCCCGGGGGCGGCCCCGCACCGCCCGCCGCCGCCCCGCCGACCCCCGCCGCCCCCCGATACTGACGCCGGCCGGGCGAGGGGAGCCGAGAGGACCCGGCCGGGCAGGGGGAGGCGGCCGCAGCCCTGCTCCCGGAGTGAGGCCCGTTTCGGGAGGGAGACAGCCAGCGCGCCGAGGCCACCGTCCCGGAGACTGCCCCAAGTCTGGTGGTTTTTAAGCAGGCACTTCGGTTTTGCCAGCGAAACATGGATGTGCGTAGGCTCGCATTGCTGTGGCTTGTGGAATCGTTCTTTTTTCTTTTTTCTTTTTTTTCTTTTTTCCTTTTTTTTTTTTTTTTTTTTTTGAGGGGACAAGGAGAATGAGTAGCGTGGGCTTTGCTTTTCCCCTCTTGAAGTGAATTTTTGAGGTCTTGATTTGGGCTTGACTCCACTTACCCGATTAGTCAGAGATGCACAAGAGCCCTCGTGTGAAAACTTGGTGGCGTGTTCGCTACAATTTAACTTAGGATCCCAGCTTTCTCGTTCTCACATCCATTTCAAAGACATAGTACTGCAACACCAATGGTGTGGTTTTTCTTTTTTTTCTTTTCTTTTTTTTTAGTTCAATGGACTCTGTAACAATACGATTCACTGTTGTGAGCACCTGTCAAGCTCGTGACAGGCTTGCGTGCCCGGCCCACCTTTCCAGGCAGTCTGTTTTGGGGCTGGATCTGGGGCTGGAGAGGGCTGCTCTGGTTTTTGTCATTCAGCACACTTTGGTACTGCTCCCTGCTCCCCAGGCTCGCATGTAGATCCTGTCTGGCTAATAGCAGCCAACGGGGACTTCTGCAAAGATGTTTTTGCTTAAAATAGACTGGTGACTTCTTTTCACACAACTGACAAGTCTAAAACCGGGACGAAGGAGGAGTTTAAATATTTGCTGATGCTGCGTTTATCAGGAGAACTTTGGTAACACCTTTGAGTCATGCACTGTGAAGTACAAGATGGTGTCCGTCTCATACACGCTTCTGTATTTTCAGATTTGGGGAGCAGATGCTGCTTTGGATGACCTTCTCACTGAGGAGTGACGATGCGATAACAGAGAGGGTGTCCTCAGTAACGAATGAAAACAAGTGCCTTAGTTCAGCTCTCCTTATGTTACATTTTGCACCACATTTCTCAAATATTTATAATTTATTCAGCTTATTTTGCTACATATTTTTCTGTATTTGTATGTTGCTGGGAAAGGACTTTGTTGTGCACACAGCTGGACTTTATAGCGCTGGACACTTGAAATGATTTTACGGTCTTCACTGTTGCACTGCAAGCCTAGAGGTTGACTATTGCTGGTGTCCCAAGTCCTGAAATTAAGCAAAAAGTACCAATGCAAATGGGTTTGTAAGAATAAAAAAAGTTTTAAAAAAAGTTAAAAAGCTCACCATTACACATCTTTTTTTTTTTTTTTTTCCATATAGCAAAATGTAACAGGATACTTCTTGTTTTTGCAACCTGGTTGTGCCCCTGCCCTAATGTGTGTGGTGCCAAGGGGATCACGCTGTTGGTGTGCCCCACTCTGACCAGGGACATTTCCTGTCTGTAAGCAATGTTTAGGGCTGTAGCTGGAAATGAGTGCTGTCCTGCCACAGCCATGAGGCAAATCGCCCTGGAAGTCTACGACAGCCACTTGTGACAGGCATCTTGTGCAGAGCTGTGATGTGAGGAAGCTTCATGAGCATGGGTAGAAAAGAAGTGGGTTTCAGTTGAGTTTTGTTCTGGCTCCTCTGCAGCTTTGACTCACTTGTTTTCTTTTGATACAGTATCTCAAAATACAGGTTAATTTTTTTAATGAAAGAAAAGACATTGCCAGAATGCAGAAAACGTCCTGACATGGATGTTTGTTCTTCAGTAAGACTTTGGAATATTATTTTCCTTTTTTAAAACAGAGATTTCTCAAGTCTTCATTTCCTCTGAAGATGTAAACATCTTAAAAGCCATTATGAGAACATTAGAAAAAATAGCTTGTTTATAAAATTGCCCATACTTGAAAATATTTTCAAGTCTATAGATAACCTGCCTTTTGAGATAGCTGGAACAGACCCAGAGCTAGCAGGGAGTCTATTGTGGGTAAGACTTGAAGCAGAGGGGGCTTCAGACTAAAGGTCCTGCAGTTTTGCTAACATGTGCACTGCTTCTGAAATGGAGCCTGTCCTCCCTCCTCCCTAAAAACCCTGCACATAAACCACAACGTGAGAATACAGCCAGAGGCAAGGAGGTGTTTTAATTCCTTCAGAAACCATCCTGTTGTTAGACTGTACCAGTTGCTTTGACAACGCACAGAGGAAAAGTTCTGTGCAGGCAAACAGAAGTTCGTATGATTGTTTTCCAACTTACATGTAAACTCTCACCAAAACCATGAAAGGTTTTAAGGGAGAATAGCAAACTCTACTACATGCCATACAACTTTGTTTTAAATCTACAATGCGTTACAGGATTACAGGATGTTACGTGGGATAATCTGGTATGAATTAGCCTTTCTTCAGATTGGTGAGTCAATGACACAGCGTGCTCTTAAGCTGATGTGTGGGGCTAACAGTGTCAAGTTTGATCCTTCATTTACTTTGGATTCCAAGAGCCCATTCCTTGTTCTGTGCTTTGTTTACTAATTGCTTCGGAGAAGAAGGAAACAGCGCCAAAAAAAGGAGGGGAGGGATCTCTCCTTAAACAGAATTTAAAGGAGTAGCCATATGCTAGTGGTTGTATCTGGGCAGAGGTGCAAAGCTGGTACCTTGAAGAATCTCAGCTAGCTGTGCTTATTGATAGAGGGCTAAAAATGTTCTCTGGTACGCTGTAAACTATGGGCACACATCAACATCCAGAACATGTAACATTGCTGTGTGCTCTTCAGACACGTGATTTGAAATCCGAAATGCAAGAAAGTACTTGATGAGGCTAAACAGTAAAATCTTTTGAGTGCTTCCAAAAATTGGTGCCAATCCAAAGTCCTGCGAATCGTGTTAATTAAAGCACAACATTTTTGTGCTTTGATAACAGGTAAAGTGCTTTTATTTGTTATAAGTAATTACTTTTTGTGAAAGAAAGGGGGGAACCCCTCTCAGAGGAGAATTAAGCATACTCCGTTTTAATAGACGGTACATTTTTGTGCTTTTAAGACTTTATAGAAGCTTAGGTTTCCAAAGAAGGTTTCGGAGACAGCCTACACACAGTTGTCTGTATTTTCATAGCTACGGTTACTGAAGGCTATGGAAATGCAAGGCTTTACCAAAGATTACACTGGGCAGCAGTGTAAAAATCCAAACCGGACCATGTGCGTACTGAAGGATTGCAAGCCCGCACCAGCAAAACACGGGGCTGCTGCTCATGGTCATAGCTTGAGATACATGGCATAATTGCAACGTTATTCTCAAAGAAATATTTTCAAAATGAAGTAGTTCTAATTCTATAAAATCAGAAGGCCAGTGGAGTAAGCTGTTAAGTGAAGCACTCTTCTTGTTTGGTTGCATTACTGTTAATGTATTTTATAAAGATTTGAAGCATAACTTTTGGAGGATGTGTTCATAAACATGGTCCTTCCCCTAACTTTAATAAGAAATGATAAAGATTTATTGCCCTTTTGGAAAAACTCCATCTCCAAAGATTTTTATTTTAAGCATACTTCTGTCCCCTCACCATGAATTAAGGGCTTAGGGGAGAAATAGCTGCCAAATGGTTTTATAGGTACATATAAACCAAAAAAATTTAATATAGTTGAAACTCTAAAGGGGTAAATGTGAAGGACATCAAAGTTAAATCTTCCTTAAGCAATTTTTTTGCCATGTACAATTGCATTTAAATTCAGATTTAAATGATTCAGAAAAGGACTGTGAAGCTAAATTTACTTTGGTGTCATGAAGATCTTGCAAACTTGTGTGAAAACTACTTCTGTTTTATTTAAAGTTGGGGCTTTTAGTCAGTACTTGGAAAGTCTGGCTTCTAGTCCCATTGGCTTCCCTCGGATTTGGATCCAGCCCAAAGTACTGCAGGAAGGTAGGGGAAATGATCTAGGCTTAATTGTCTATTCTGTTCAGAGTCTTGTGTTATGGGGTTAGGATAACATGGCACTGTGATGAATGTTCATCTGTCAAGAGTTCAAAATCTGCCGTCTATGCATGGCAGTAATTAAATCACCTTAATTGTTTTTTCATGATTCTTTTTAAGAGAGGGAAAATTACTTGCCTTGGATTAGCATATTGCCAAAGACTGTTATAAATATTTATGGAGTGTACTCTTTCAATAGAAAGCCTGCACATTCTTCACAGGTCTCCATAGTTTTTTTCTCTGAACACAGAAGAGTAGTTATTTGAATGCACTACTTACCATCATTTCCCCCTCTTGCAAAGGTTCAGCAGATACTGGGTTTAACAGTAAAAAAGGTAAGTAGTTTAGAAAGAAGCATCTCTTGCAAAACGTATTTAATTTCCTCTGTAAGCTGCGGAATCCTTTTGAAGGTGCATATGTTTGTGAAACAGGTTTGCGAGTTCCATATTTTTTCCTTTTACACTTGTAGAAAATACACAGTTTTGGAAGACTTATTGGCTTCTCTATCTGTTTTTTTTTTCCCCTGCTTCCACATTAAAGGCTTGTGCACTATTTTTATATTCTAAAATACTGAAAAAAGTAGGAATGTAAACACTCAGTTACTAAGAGCTGCACACCTTACTTCTTTTTTTTTATAAAGGTCGTCAAACAAAATATTCCTAAGAGTATGAAATAATTTGCCTGTGTTACGAATGGTGGAACAAAGCGATGAGTATAGTCCTGACTTGAATAATGCCGGGGTTTCACTGTAGATCATTATGGAAAACTCAGGAAAACAGTAGGTGCACAGCTCTTTCATGGCTCTGTTTACGCGTACGTATGGCCTGTGCTGGGTATCTGGAGAGATGCGTTTATGTTGCATTAAAGGAAGTAAGTTGAGGGGCTGGTGCTTCTCCATAAAATTATTCCACCTGCTGATGTTAGAGGGTAAAAGCCATGCTTTTAAGACCTGGAAACTTGGTGAAGTTTTTTATACAGAAATACCATTTGAGAAGAGTGAGTAGTAAATTAAAATCCTTCTTAGGCTGTTTCAGCATTGTATGTAAAGTGTTCACATGCTTCTCTCTTGGGTTGCTCTCCTCCCCGACAGCTGTACCTCTGGTATATCTGGGTATTTTGAAACCGTGCTTTCTATTTGAGTAAAATTTCTTGAGAAGCTGTAACACACAACAGAAATGCCTATCCTTTGAACAGTTGCTAATATTAATCAAATGATTACTTTTTTTCTTTCAGAGTGCCGTTTCCAAGTTTATACTGTAAAAGTAACGACAAACTTGAGTATATGCAAACATTCAAATTTTAGCTTATACTGCTGAGGTCAATAGTTTGCTAAAATGTCAAGATCAGGAAAAGACAAACATTTTTAATATAATACAAAAGCAAACTTGTTTTGCTAAGACACTGCAGCTTTAGTAAAGATATTTATTAAGCTCCCTTCTAGTCTAAGGAAAAAAGATATACTTTTTATAATAGTGGACATTGTACATAAGTCATGGGACCATTCCTTTGTGTTTTAACTATTCCTGTTGTTTACACTGCTTTGACAAAATCCAACAAAGCTTCTGACAGCGTGCCAAGAGAGATTTAATGAGTATTGCAACGTAAACGGAACTGGTGAAGCACAGAAGGTGCAGCTGTAAGAGCACAGCAACTCCGAGGCTGGACCACAGTGCCAGCTCTCCAGTTCGCTGTCTCCATCAGTGACAATGAGCACATGCCTAGCCAAGCCTAAGGACAGGGCAGGTGGACACAAACATAACACTAAAGTCATCCCAGCCTACAACAATTATTTCTGTGCTGGACTTCCTAAGCCAGATGTGGTTAGCAAATATTTTCCACCCAGTTTGTAGGATTTCAGTGATAAAGCATTTGGCAAGCTATCTTTTTATACAGAACTGGGCATGTTATGATAAAATTCCTTAAAATAGACATCAGGCAAGGAAAAAATAATATTTATAGGTATCTTCCAATCATGTACAACTGGTATGCACATAACTAACACTAGTTGAGCATGCACTTAAATGTGTGTTACAAGGAAAGGAAACACACAGGTCTGTCCAAAACAGGGAACAATCATCTAAAATGCCACGACTGTTGGGTTTGAGTAGTAAATGCCAATACCTTTGCTAGCTTTGCACTTCTGTTAACAAGTTAGATAGCGTTATGCAGACTTTTGGACTGTAGCAGCAGAAGCGTTCTTGCGCTGCTTCTAATAAGTAATGCATAAATAATGTATGATAAGCTGATTATTAATTTCGAATAAGAACTAATTTCTCCTTGTCTGAGAAAGTGAACTGTCTTAACCTCTGCAGTACTGACTGGGGAAGGAGGGAAATTAGAGAGCCTGATTAATGGAGAAGTAATCTCCTTCATACTTCTGAGGGAAAGAATAAGACATTTCATATTCCCATGGCTGCATGCCTATCTGAGAGCATGTACCATCTACAGCTGTATTCTTGATAAAGAACTTCACTGGAAAGGTACTGGTATTTTGGAAGAACTGATTATGTATTGAAAAGGCCTCTATTTAAAACCAAATGCTTACTTTTTTGTAAACATGGTGAAAACCTAGATTATGTTATCAATGGAGTTGTACCTCTTCATAAGTTAGGGCTACACTATTTATAAAGATGTTTATTTTGCTTCCTAGCATACATTCTCATATCTTGAAATGGTATGCAGTGCTTGTTCCAGTAATTAAGCTGTTTTAAGCAAGGATTTTGCATGTACTGTTTTAGGGACCAAATTTCTTACAGTATAAAACTGGCAGTCTTTCCAAGCCTGTGTCATCTAAGACTATAAGATGTTACTACATTTCAGTGAGCTCAGTGGAAACTTAAATAGCAATCAAACCTTTCTTTCCCTGCACCTTCACCATTAAGTGCACTTAATTATCCACTTGCAAATATGGAGATTTAAAATGCAGAATATAATGCATTTTACCTATAAGAATTAATTCAATTTGAGTAAAATGTTCATTAAAAGCAATTTACATTGCAATACTTATATATCTAATAAGAGGAGAATTGTTAATGTATTTGCCTCTTATCTGAAAGTGTGAATGGAGGCTACATTTATAGTCTTAGGTACACATAGTATTTTATTCTGTACACTGTATTGTCCATGAAATGCATCAGTATACATTTCAATCTAACTGTACAAAATTGTAAAATACACAATTTTCCCCATTCCAGTGAGGAATGGGAGTTTGTTCTAAATTATACACTACAATTAGATACTTTGCTTTAATAATGTTAACACAGAACATGAAGAACACAAAAAAAATGTAAGTTCTAAACAAAGATGAATTTTGTAAAACAAGAAAAATAAGAAGGGGGTTTAAAGGCCACAGTGTCATGGAACTAGTTTTGAGTTTCTGTTACTTAAAAAACCCACAGCAATCCACTGAAATAGAAGGAAACTTTTTTCTGCATGCCATTAAAATAGCTTTGCAGTGCTTAATTTTTCTGCACATTTCTCATAGAAAACAAACTTAAGCACATCAATGACTTGAGCAGAACCTGATCAGAAATTTTGCTTGCTTTTGTTTTAATGTACGGTCTTAAAAGTGTTGGGTATTCTACAGATTTAATAATAAACAATAAAATGCGATACTGAGTGTTCTACTGAGTACTTTTGCTAGGCAAAGCTTGTTGCCAATTCATGACTTACGGCACTTGAGTTACTGTTATAGTTAGGTTATTTTCCTTCTGCAAAATTCAGGAGCTTTGAGAAAAAGGGAACCTCAGATAAAGTGATGTGGTGCTTTCTGCTAATAGCTGCACCTCAACTAGTTAAAGGACTCTGTGGTGAAAATACATTTTAAAGCTTCCAAGCCTCAGTAATGCAAGTCTTACATTCTGCTAATATGATCTGTTAACTGTTAAAATTAGGACAAGACTAGTTATTAATTCTCGGAAACTAAAGAAAGAACTAGTGAAATTTTTATGGCACCTCCTGAAATGTCAAGGGATCCTCTTCAAAGAAACCACAGAATTCAGCCTGTGATATTTGTAAGTATCAAGGTCCAGGAGACAAAAATTCTGTTCATCTCTGGTTTTAATATTTAAAATAAAATATGTACTTAGTAATTTAATTCAGATGCTATATGCTTTGAAATGCAACTAGATCAATAAGAACTTAGTAACTAGGTGAGGGATTTTAAATCTTGAGGGGTTTTAAATCTAACACATTTTTCATGGTCATTGAGAGACGAGGTCAGCAGCAGAATAACGTATCTGGTTACAGGTAGTTTAATGAAGTTTTATTGTCAAAGTAGGGCAGGAACTATTCCATCACATGGAACATACAAGCAAACACATTTCAAGACTATCTTACATGCTATTTTAAGTCACAGCCATATATCTTAGAATGTGTGAACCACTAGAAAATAGTACTTTGGTTGCCAAAAACTGAGTCTCTCAGGCATTTCTTCTGCCGAACAGAAAAGCTCAGATGTGTGCAGTGAATTTATGCTTCTGTATGTGGCACTGTAGGATGCTGAAGATGGTCCAGTGTTGCTTCAGGATCAGAGGCTTCTCATAGCTATGTGTTTCCTGGACTCTCAATAACCAATTTCTGCGTGGAGTACAGTTGGCCAATAGTAACCTGAAATCAAACCAAAATATCAGAAAGCCGAAACTGGAAAGTAACCAGGTTATAATTTAGGCTTCACAAGAGAGATTAAAAAACCCCTAGGAACTGAGTAGCCCATATATTAAGCTTTTTCATAATTACATTTTAATTTCTACTAGCATTTCTTTTTGTAAATAATACTGTTGTCTAGACCTTAAGAAAAATAACCTATACATAAAATACCTGCATATATAAAATCTTGAACTAATGACATTGAGGAATACTGTTCAAAGTCTTATATTAAAAATTAACATTAGAAGTTATTACAGAGGAAAAGCAAAGAAGAATATAACGAAAAATCAAAATATGGATATAGTCAGCAGATATTTTTTATGCTTTTTGGGTGGAGAGCCTAGATATAAATTGTGTGGCATGGTATTATTTTTCAGTTCCTTTGGAACCCCAATTTAATTTGCCTTAGAAATGGTGAAAGCAGTTAAACAGTTGTTAGTTCAGCAGTAGCATTTTACACACACTGGAACTACCTCTTGTTCATGAGATGGTATTCAGACCTTCTGTATTTGTGCTTTCTAGTGCAACAAGGAAATGAAAAATGACAAAAATGCAGCTTTGATTCCTCTTGTTCTTTAGTACTTTCGAGTCTGCCTCATAAGATTAGTAAATTGTAGTCAGGTGTGCAGTTAGCAGTTGTCACACACAGCTCTTTGCTTAGCAGCTGAGATGTGGAAGGAAGATGTTTCATGCATGTAGGGTAATGAAAGCAGGAGAAGGCAACATTTATTTTTAAAAATATGAATTCTGGAGTCTAATTTTTAATATCTATTATGCCCTTTCTTGCCCCTGCTTTCTCCCTAAGGCCTGGGTACACAGTAGCTGTGTCCTTTTCACAAAAAATTCATATATTTAATTATGGGATTAGGACAAAAAAAGCTAGATGCTTAATTACACTAAGCACAATATATTTAGTAGAATTTAATACTGTTCAAATTAAGTCTGACAGCAAGTCAGGCTCTCAAAGTAGTAAAAAATTAGGGAAGGAATTTTTTTGGCAGTTTCCATTTACCATTTTTGTGGGGAAAAAATCCTGGCTACTCTTAAATAGAAATTTCTCATCTATGCCCACACTCATATAGAATGTGAATAATATTGCCTTTTAGGAAATGAACTATTTCATCTTGATAAACAGCCTTGTCTGAAACTTGTAACGCATTGATTTTAGTCTTGAAATATTTATTACAAGGGAGCATTTATGAGCTGCTCCAAAGGAACAGAAGTTTTCCTTGCCAAAAAATATTCCCCTCTTTTGGCACTCTAAGTTACTAACAGCATATGAACAACTCTGATTATTTTTGAAATTACTTATGAAGTATGTTGCATATGGAATATTTAAAACAAAGGCCATACACAACTGTGGCATGTGTTACCAACACAAATTTTAAGCTGTCAACAAGTGTTACTTGTCAAAGAGAACTCACTGCTCTGGGTTATGTGTCACGCTGTACACTTTAGTTGCTGCCTTACCACAAACCATGCTGTAGTACTTAATTTTTGTATACTGTGTTTTGGAGCCCAAAGAATCTTTAATCCTTTCCCACACAGTAGAGCAAATTTAATGGGAGGCTCAGAGGGATTACAAAAATGCTGAAACCTGAATTGCATTTTTTTTTCTCCCCCAACTGGGGAGATAGATGAGACTGAGTACGTGACTTCTCAGTCAATCATATTCAGCTGGGGCAGACGGCTTTGCAGAAGAAAGGTACGAGCTGCTGTTTGCTGACCCTGTGCCAACAGGTGACATTATCTACTGCTGCACCTCTTGACTCAAACGCAATAAAAACACAGATTTATGTGTGAGCTGCTTCCTTAGTAAACCACAGGCGTGCAGGCATTTCAGAGAGTGCAGAGCCACCAGTGCTGTGCTGTCAGCCTTTGCTGGGCTGCTGCAGCTTGCCTGCTCTGGTGCCTCCCTTCCAGAAGCTATGCCATGGCATTTTAAGCTGAACTTTGAAACGTAAGGATTTTTTTTTAAGCCATTAGCCTTGAGTTTCTAACGTTATGATCAAGCCTTTCCCATGTGGTTTAGACAAAACAAACAGACCTTCCATTTATAGCTGCTGAAAAATTCGCATCTATAAACATCCACTGCCTCAGCAGAAGGACTGCACCGGTACCTACACAGACAATCATTAACCCTCAAAACCAAAACAGCCTTCTTACAGTGTCCTCACAGACACCAAGTCTAAAGAAAGCTCTTCAGCAGCAAAGGTCCATGTGGATCGTTCTCCCAGATTAGAGACTTAAGTGGCTACCTATTGTGTTCTTTTCTCATCATGCATGTTTGTAGCTTGTACACCACATGCCATTTACTCTTCTGGTAGGTGGCTGGAAGCCAGTGCATAGGTCAGTGTCAGGGTATTTTCATTAATCACAGGAAGCTCTTGGGGAAAAAGGCTCTACCATTTGTTCAGCAACTTTGTTACCCAAAATTTTGTTTACCTCTTTTAAGTAACACATTGCAATTGTATTCTGCAGGAAAGAATGTGCAATAAAAAACCACTTTGCCATCAGGAGAAGACAATAAATAGAAATATAAAAGTTGCTTTTCAGCTCTTTCCAAGTTATATGATGTTTAAATTTGCCTGCAAAACTATGTGCTTTTTAATCTTACAAGTCAAAACCTGACAATTTGTCCTTATTCAAAGATTTAGTACAAGTCTACATGGTATCAGCTGTTTCTTGTGAACTGAAAAACTTACTATTGCCTTCTGCCTGAATCCGGGATAAGGCTTAGGGCTTCAGAATGGGATTTATCAGCAAATGTGATACTACAAATGATGAAAAAGAAATGACTGAATAGTTACTGACCCATCCTGTAACCAACCATTCCCTGGTTATTAGGTGTTTGTGTGTTCATATGGAAAGAGTGCTTTTACTTTGTTGCGGGAAAGCAGCAATCACAGGAATAAGTCACTTCATGGAATCTTTCTTTGCTATTCGGGAAAAAAGTAAGTAGGAGAGGATTTCTCCGAGATAACAAAGTATCAGTGGAGTAGATCTTGCAGACCTATTGGCACCACTTGCAAAATATTACTGGAAGATCTTCTTCAACTTTTGAAGGTATGTGGCATGTTTTGGGTTTTTTATCCATACAGACATTTTACTTTGCAGCTCTGAGCTGAGGTAGAAGTGACTGCTTCTATTTTTGCCGGGCAAAAAGTAAGTTGAACAGGTTTTAAAAAAGTTATTCTAATTTGCCTCACTCATTTTAGAGTGCATAGTTCTGCTCTGAAAAGTATGATGGCATCTTTCCTTGAGAGCTCTGTATAAATTCCAAATGGATGTCTACTTCAATAATCACCACATTTTCCCCTCCTTAGTTGTGTTGGCTCTTCAGTATAAAGGTGTCCAGGCATCTCTTTTTCCCTGTACTTTACAGAATTGTAATTACATGGTATATAGCCTGCGATCTCTAACAAATCCTGCTGAGCCCTGATGAAGATACTTTTTCTCATTGCCACTGAACACTCATCCTTATCTTCCTGCTAAACCTGACAATCTCTGAACTACTAGCTACCTGCTTGGGTGAGGACTCACTGATAAATTTCAGTGTGAATGCCCTAAAATTACTCAGGTAAGTAGCCAGGCAGCAGACCTGAGGAAAGGCAATGCCCCAAAGGCAAAGTACAGCCCAAGTGTACACCCACGTGGGTGGAGCAGAATAAGAATGTCCACAGCTTCAGCAAACAAATGCAAAGTCAAAATTCCAAGAAATCTGGCTTGTAATAGCTCTTAGTAGGATGGACATGTGAGAAGGAAAGACAACAGTATAGGTCTCAGCCTCTGAAGGAATCTTGGCACATTGCACAGGGGGTGACATATCTTGATTGAGTCTCCAGCACACAGAAACATCATCTTTCTAACTGCAATCAGGGTATGTTCTTATGTAAATCAATGCAATATGGCTACAGACCCTTGTAACAGTACTTTTACCATCGCTTTCTAAGCTATGTTGACATAACAGTCGTACAGAAGAGTTTCCCTTCTCTGTCCCTTCGATGTCTCATCCCATTTGTAACGCAAGTAACAAAATTAGCAAACTGTCTTTGTTTATTTAATAACTTTCCCCTCATTAAAATATAGTTGCTGATGTAATCTCTAGGGAACAGTTTTTTGCCCTCAAAAGCAAACCAAGCCCTGTTTTTTTTTTCATGCTACTGTTTATTTTTCGATGGCAGACAAAAGTAGGAGCAGGCTAACAGGAGAGGGTGCAACACTCTCACCCTACGTAGAATCAACTTAGCGGTAAAGACAAGGCCTAAACACAAAAAAGTGCCACCACAGCATAACAGTGTGAAAACACTGTAATACAACAATTCCTTTAGCTCTCAGTTATTTAAAAATTGATCTCATGAGAGGGTCATCACTAGAGAAGTAATAATGCTTTCCTCTTTTTCTTAAAGAAATAAAACTGATGCACTACAGATAGTTTTACACATTAAACATGTTTACGTATCTAATATATATGTATATAGATTGTTATATGCACAAGCATAAATATATAAAAATATATTAAAAACCACAATCTCTAGATAGTAAACATAGCCATCCCCTCTCTTTTGTTACAAATGTGCAGGCAAGAAATGTTTACCTTATAGCAGCCAGGGATCACATATTTTCATAGTCCTTTATTATGGAGAAAAAGGAAAAAGTCCTGTTCATTAATATATTTGTACCACACACACACACACAAATACACTAAATCACATTGTTTTTTCCTGTTGCACCTGAAAAGTTAACAGGTGTACCTCACAGGCACACTGCTGAATCTTAACTAGGAAGAAAACTCCCTGATGACACTGCAGTCATATCACATATACTGCTGCCAATCTGGGCCTCTAACACTATACGAAGAAGTTGCCCATTCACATTTTCTTGCACTATGACTATAAAATGCATCTTAAGTGAATGCTGACAAGAACAGAAATGTAGAAGAATAATGATTACTTTTAAGA